CACACACACACACACACACACACACACACACACACACACACACACACGGTGGCTCTAGAAAAGCACTCGCACACCTACTCGGGTCCCAGCAGCACTCTCTCGGTGGTGCAGAGTTTTGTTTTATTGATGCAGGTTCTGAGGCACAGTTGTGAGGTGTGAGGGACAAACCCGGCCAGGGCAGGAGATAGAAAGTTTTGGATGGTGGGATTTGGAAGTGGCTGGAACCAGCAGGGGAAGAGCGGTGGCATTTGGCAACCCTTGGACTCCCCGCAGGGTTGCGATCGCGTGGAACAGAAGAGGGCTCTTTGGTCAAATAAGCCAGGCATGCCTGAGCATCAAGCAGGAACGAAGCCCCTGGCGGGGCGGCGGGGTCCCGGCCAGAGATCCTGCCCCTACACCGGAACGGCCTTGTCTCGGAGACGCGCAGGACCCCGGGGTCTAGCGGGCTTCCTGGAGGGGTTGGGACGGCGACGACCCCGGGGCGCACGAGGCAGGGCGCAGCCACGCTCACTCTGCGTGTCTGAGGATTCATCGATAAAGGCCAGATTCTCACTGGGGTAATCCAGAGCTGAGGCAGTGGGCGGGGAAGGTGTCTCGACCTTCTCTGGGGGAGCTGGAGATCCTGGCCTGGGGGCTGACTCGGCAATTCCAGGAGGTGCGGGCAGAGAGGAGGGCAAGAGCGCTTGCTCCTTCTCTGGCGGTGGGGTGCTGGACCCGGCTAGCTGTGTCACTCGTGCTGTCACTGTGCCGGTCCAGCTAGCTGCCTGCGCCGTGAGGCCACCCATCTGCACAGAGAAGAAAAGGTGTCCGCTTACCGCAACTCCGGAAGCTGCCCCTTTACCAATCGCATCCACCTTTTCCCCTGACCCTAGAACCTCAGCCTAAGAATGACCCAGAGGCACACTGCCTTCCTGAATTGGCCCGAAGCACCCCTTCCCCACGAACCTTTCTAGAAAGCTCCAGTTTTGTTTGGGCCTTCACAGCCTCTCTGTAGTCTGCTAGCAAAATGCAGGTTTCAGATAAACTACAGAATCAGTACGTCTCATACAATATTTGGGGCAGATTTTAAAGTCGTCTTCGTCGTTTCGTCTGAAACTCCCATGTAACTGGCCTTTCTAGTTTTGCTGTTTTTGAAACAGAGTCTCATTCTACAGCCCAGGCCAGTCTGAACTCTCAGCAGTCCTGACTCTGCTCTGCTACCAAGTGCTGGGATTTACAGACACCACCTCGTCTCTCTGAATTTTTATTTGCTAACCCTGGAGACCCTATATCTGTTCATGAAGGCCGAGGTTGCGGGATGTTTGGAAAACCTGAATTTGCCCCCATGTTCTGGTAGCGCGTGCTCCGGGTCTCAGTTTCTGAGAAGCCCACATTTTGGAGGGGAGCTAGGCTGATCAGGGCTGCTAAGGGCGCCCCACACAGGTGACATGCAGAGCGCATGCGCGGCGGGAAAAAAAAAAAACCGACCCTGGAGCTCGTACCTCTGCCCGCGTGCGGCGGGACACCGCTCGCAGCCAGTTACCGATGGTGGTGAGCACGGAGGCGAAGTAGGCTAGGCCAAACAAGATCCAGAACCACACCAGGGGCTGATAGGCTGGAGAGTTCTGGCTGGTGGCCTCACCTAGACGGTTCACAGGGAGGGAAAAAGTAAGTGGATGGGGGCAAGAGGCGAGCGTGTGAGCCTCTGGCCCACAGCGGGCTTTCTGCACCTTGCTGAGACAGTGCCCCTCCCCAGAAAAAGGGAATGTGCCGGAGTGTGCAGTGTGAGTGTGTACAAGTTGTAGTTGTGTGTGATAAGAGCAGGCAAGACGTGAACGTCATATACGTGTGACCATGCAGGGACTGCCTGCCGGAAGGATGTATGGTGCGGTCCGTGGTGGGAATGGATGCTCGGGCAAACGTCCCAGAGGGGCGTATAGGCGGAGTGCAGAAATGAAGGGCTTAAGGGATGTGCTGGGCGAAGTCAGCCTCACCGGGCACATAATCGCCAAAGCCCACGGTGGTGAGTGTCACTATGACAAAATAGATGGCTTCCAGCTTGCTCCAGCTCTCCATATAGGAGAACACGAAGGTGGGAGCGAGGACAAAGAGCAGGCAGCCAATCAGCAGGAAGAGCACCGCAGACAGGATCCTCACCACCCCTGGCGGCACGTGCCACTTCTGTGGGGAGGGGTGGTGGTTAGGGCCACTGAGATCCGGTCGCCTCCAGTTCCATTCTCCCACCCACTACCCTCATTCTGGCGCACTCACATGCTGAGGACCTAGGGAAGAGGACCCTATGAGGGGCATAGTGCAGCTCACCAAGAAGATTGCTTCGATGTGACCGATGCCCCGGCGCAGAGAAGAGCCCAGCCGGTCCCCGACTCCCGCCAGCAGCATCCCGAACAGCGGGATCCCCACCAGTGCATAGAAGATGCAAAAGAGACGCCCGGCATCTGTGTGTAAGGCTGTATTGCCATAGCCTAGACAGAGGGGACAGGGCAGAGAGTCTAGGCGCCACCTGGTACCCCTTGCCTCTCCCTGCACCTTCCCCCACAGGGAAACTCCTTGCCCTTGCCCCCCTCCACATGCCCCATCTCCTCCCCCACCGATGGTAGTGATGATGGTCCCCGAGAAAAAGAAGGCGCTGCCCAGGTTCCAAGCTGATGAGTAGTTGCTGCTATTGGTCCAACTGGTTTCTGGGTTTGCACCCCCTCCCAGGGTTCCAGCCACGAGCTGCAGGACAAGGCGCACAAGAGGAACCTTAGTCCTTCCCTCCAGCTGGCTAACTCCCAGCCCTCTCCCTTTAGGTACTTTACTGGCTCTGTAGCTCTCTCTCCTTCCCTCCTCTGTGGTTTTAGTTTTTGACAGTGTCTCTCACTCCCTCTACCTAAGGTTTTTTTTGTTTGTTTGTTTTGTTTTGTTTTGTTTTGTTTTGTTTTGGGGTTTTTTTGGTGATTGGTAGGTTTGGTTTTTTGAAACAGCATTTCACTATATATCCCAAGCTGCCCTGAAACATGGTGAGTAGTCCAGGCTGGAACTATTGATCCTTCTTCCTGTGTCAGCCTTCCAAGTGCTGGAATTACAGGCATAAGCCACCATAACTGACTTCACATGAAAGAATCCCAATTTTACAGTGAGGAGCATAAATACCAGGATGCCCGGACTCTAATCCTGGCAACCTTGAGCATGGTGCCTTAGTTTTCTCCTCCGTCACATGGGAGTGATCGTCAGAACACCACTATCATGGATCCAACTGAAGAATAACCACTTCGTATTTGCTGGGTAACTTTCCACATGGGTAGTTATGACCTGTGAGTTCCCGCTGCTGCAGACGCCCCCACTGTCACTGTTCCTGAGGAAACTGAGTCTGAATGTGTGGCCTTTAAACAATGTATGAAAGGTGAGATCTTCTCTCTAGAAAAGTTTCCATATCACATTTTGTGGCCAATTTTAGGATGTTTATATGTGTGCGCTCGAATACATATGACTTCTAAGCCAAACCCAGTATTTCATGTGGTGCCCAATAAGCATGACTGAAGAAGCCAAGTACCAGCCTTTCCTGCCTGCCTGCAGATGCCCCAGGGGAAGAGTCTGTGTCTGGAAAGAGCTTGCTTGGGACGTCAGAGCACCAGAAAAGGATGTGAAGGGGACACCCTTCCCCAAATAAAACAAGGAGAGAATCCACAGGGAAGTTCACAACCTGTGTCACCTCCCTGATGACAGACCCATTAGCAAGACCCACTTGGATTTCATCCTCCCTTGAGTAACTACTGCAAACCCTCAAGGCTCCTATTTGTCCAAAGGAGAGTCTAGACTCTTTAGTCCAGCATTTATTTATTTATTTATTATTTTGAGAAAATGCCTCATGTGGCCTAGGCTAGTCTTTTAACTCACTTCTAGTCAAAGATGGCCTTTAACTCCTGGTCTTCTACTAAGTGCTGGAATTATAGGCGTGAGCTACCCTGACCAGTTTTTGCGTTGCTGGAGAGCTAACCCAAGCTTGCAGCAGGCTAGGTAAGTACTCTACCAGCTGAGCCGCAGCCCCTCCCCCCTCTCTGTTGGAGGTTTGTTTGATTTTGTTTTGAATGATGGGGTCTTATTCAGTAGCCCAAGCTAACCTGGACCTCATAACAGTCCTCCTTCCTCAGCCTGCAAGTTGAGATTACCGGTTTGAGCCACAAGCACTTTTTCCAAACTGGTCTCAACCTTTTCCCCAGGTTCTGATTTTTTACACCCCAAAAATACAGCAACCTTCTTCCCAGATTTTCTGAGGTGGTGTCATTTTCTATAATGATGAATTTTGAAATAAGGATGTGAACTGTCTGATTAAAAGTGATTTAACTTTTTTAGATCTCTTTTTTTTTTTTCTTGCATGTATGTATGTGTTTCATGAGCACGCTGGTGCCAAAAGAGGCCCGAAGAAGGTGTCAGGTTCTCCAGACCCACTGGATGCTAAGAACCAACAGTCCCCCAGAAGAGCAACAAGTGCTCCAAACTGCCCAACCATCTCACCAGCCCCAATAAGTTAATGTTTGGTTTTCTCGAGATGTGGTTTCTCTGTGTAGCCCTGGCTGTCCTGGAACTCACTCTGTAGACCAGGCTGGCCTCAAACTGAGATTCATTCACCTCCCTCTGTCTCTTGAGTTCTAAGCTCCTGATTTAATTTTTATTTTGTGACATTCCCCCACATCCTCCAAATCTTTAATCATCCAGTGTATTCAAATCTTTGTTTCAAATGATGCTGCCAGCTCCAGTGTCTGCTCCACACTCTAAGCTTGCTGGCTTCCACACTGCTGCTGTGCTGTCCCTAGGCTTGGGGGTTGTTTGCTTCCACACTCTCAATTCTGTCCCTCTCACTCAGTACTTTCCGACCGCTGGCTCTTCCCAAAGCCTCTGCATCTCCCTCAACTCCCAGCTCACAACCCCAGGCCCAGCAACCAGCAGGTGCTCAATGAAGAAGGAAGAAAATTCCCTTCTTTGCCCACTGCTTTCTACTTGATCTGCCTGTCCCTGGCCTGCTCCTTGGATGTGAAGCCCCCCAGGGAGAGGCCCCATCAGCCTCACCCCATCGTTTGCAGCTCCCCACACAAGCACACATAGGCGTACAGTTGCGGCAGGACCCACTAATTCCTGGTGTGGAAGAGAAGCAAAGCGCTAACCACGCCCCCTTCCAGGTTCCCTGTCTCTCCTTTTCTTCTCTCTCATCCCAGAATAAAGCAATTCCATTGTGAAGATAAATAGGTCAGGCTCCCTCCCTCTCTCTGCCCTGTGGTCCGGCCAGACGCACTTTCCACCCAGCCACTTCTATGTAGACCTTGTCCTGATTTCTGAAAGTGGGAGAGATGCATCACTCTACCCTGATCTTGGCAGTAGATCCTGCCACCTTAAGAATCAGTTGGGGTGCTGAGGCTTACATGCAGACCCTCCACAAAGAACAGTCAGGGAATGAGGGATACTCTTCTGTCAAGTGAGCAGTACAAGACTTCTAGTATACAGCTTTCCCCAACAGTGACACAGGGGCTCACTAACTGGACCCATGAAAGCTGAAGTCCCAGAGCTTCCCTTAGGGGCAGGATGGAGACTGATCAAAGGCAGCATAGGAAAGCCTGACACCCTCACCCCTTGCTTGACTGGTAAGCATGAGTCCTAAGAAGGAGGGGCCCCTAAATTGGCATCCACAGTGATATGAACAGAAGCCCTCCTAAATCATCTGTTACTTGTTTATGTGCGAACTTGGGAGCACGGGAGGGAGGAGGTTTTCACAGTGTTCTCACGGGGTTTCGCTAAAACATCTGAACTAAAAAAAAAAAAAAAAAAAAAAAAATGCATAGGAACTGGTGTGGGAGGAGCAGCCAACCTTAACAAGTAAAAACTCTGCAGGGGGCCAGGTGTGGTCGCTCAAACCAGTAATCCCAGTGCTCTGGAGGTTGAGGCAAAACAAGACAGCCCAGAGTTCAAGGTCAATTTGTGTGGCACCGTGAGTGCCAGTCCAGTCAGGTCTACAGTGCAAGCTCCTGTCTCAAAAAAACCAAAAATCATTATCAGGGTCATATTTAAATCAGGCCGTTTAGCTGAATGTCACATGTGACTGAGCGTCCAGGATTTGGTCTGGTGACCTAATGGTGTCTGACCTGTGCAAATTTAGCATCCCACCTGCTCCAGCCATTCATTTGTCCATCTTCCCTTCCTCCTGCTCACCGACACACAGGGAAGACGACATTCTGGGAGCACAGCCTGGTGCCAGCCAAGACAAGCAACAGCATGGCCAGCATACTGCAAACAGACACTGGGACCCCAGCTCCTGCTCAACAGCCCTGGGGGAGATGCCAGGACCTACCCTGTCCTCAGACAAACATGCGAGTCTGGAAGCAGTGCGCTGAGCACCTCGCTGCTGGCCAACCCTGCCAACCCACCTTGATGAGCCCCTCCAGGTTCTTTGGGCTCACACACGGATGCTCCTTCAGAAACTGGTCCCGGCCATCCTCCAGCTCCTTCTGCACCTGCTGCTCATGCGGCTGCTCCAGAGCCTGGAACACTAGAGCCCCAGAAACCAAGTAAAGCAGCACGAGGGCCAACAGGGCCAGGAGTGTGGTGCTGCGCATGGCCCTTCCAGAGGCAGGTCCAGCTCCGCTCCCTGTTTGGGGAGGAGCAGAAGGGGACTCCTGGGGAGCAGTGGTCACTGCAGGCCAAATCAAGAATGATGGGGTCAAGAAGAGATCTGACATCCACACCCTCCTCCTCTATCTTAGACACCCCTCCCCCAAGGTTTTGGAGCCCCTAGCTTTCCTGTTCATACTGTGTACACGCACACACACACACATCCTCTGGCCTGACACCTGGTTCTATGTACTAACACCTAGGCCTCCCCCTCCAGCCTCCTTCTTACCTCCCCCGGACGAGCCATCAGGAGAGTGGGAGGAGGAAGGAGACACTACCAGGCTGGGTGAATGAGAGAGTGTGGGGAGTTGTGAGGAATAGGGAGCCTGCCTTGGAGAAGACCATGGGAAGACCAGGGTGTTCCAAGGGAAAGGGGGAGGAGAGGCTGGAGAACTGGAGACAGGAATAGCAGGTCCGTACTTGGCTCTCCCACTGCGGCTGTGGCAGCCTCCTCGGATGCATCTGTCCCCTCCTTCCTTTCCCGAGTCCAGTCTAGCAGGGATCAGCGGGGTGGAGCTCCTCCAGGGTCCCTACCCGCCCGCTGGGCTTTCGAGGAACCCCGAGGCGGATCTGGCTGCAGGGTAGCAGCTTGGCCCAGAGCCAGGGAAAGGAAAGGTGGGCACCGGGCTCCCAGAAGAAACGAGGCACAGGGTGGGAAGGGCAGCATGAACACAGCAGCCCACGGGACAGCTGTCACCTAGGGGGCAGCGGGAGATGGCAGGTGCGCACACACACGAACATACACTGCCCGCTGCACGCGCCCACACTCCACCCTGCGGCGGTAGCCGCGCGCTGCCCAGGCTGCATGCACAGCACTGCACCATGTTCCTGCAGACCCCTGCACAACCGGACACCACGGCACCATGGGCGTCCCCGCCCTGCCGAGCTACCCTAGAGGTCCATGCGCAGGAGTGCACACACGCGCGCGCACACACACACACACACACACACACAGAGAGGTCCCGCGTGACACCGCACGCCAGCCGCTTGCTCCCACCACCTCCCCCGCGTCCTTACGCCGACGCCTCCGAGCGTGACCGGTGACTGGACGCCCTATCGTACCACTCGAGGAAGACATCCGTGCGCCGCGGCTGGGCATCCGGCCCTGCCGGCGGCCTCCCAGCTCCCGGGGCCTGGGATCCACATTCCCGCGCCTGCACCGCACTTACTGTCTGCCCCCACTGTGGCTGCGGTTTTGGCTGCGGCCAGGTCTCCCGCGCTGCCTCGAGCGGCTGCGGGCTGGGCTACGGAGGTGGCGGCAGCAGTCCGGGGACTGAGAGGGCGGCCGTCTGGCTGGGACACCCCTCTCCTCCCGCCGTCAAAAGCCCCCCTCCCTGGGAGCTTAACCCTACCAGAGCTGCGTCCCCCTACGTGCCGCACCCTCGCCACCAGCTCTAACTGCCAACCGCCTTGCACCCAGCCCTTTACCTGAAGCTGCAGCCTCTGGGTTTCCCAATCCTAGCCTGTCCTGGCCAGTGAGTGGCAGAGGAGCAAGAGAAGGGTCGACGCCGAGTCCAAACTTCCAGGCTGGAATCGGAGCCCCAGAGCTGCCCTAACCTGGACATCAGTTGGCCCTGGGCTCCGGACAGCCGCCACACTCATCTCCTGGAATCTTCTACATCTATTACTGGACTGGGAAGAGCCCTCATTTCTCCGCCCATGGGGATAGTCTGGTCCTTCGGCTTGGCACTTGGGAGGGACAGGCCCTTAGGGAGAAAGGGCAATGTGGGGGCGGAAGGTGGGGAGATCACTTTGGGGCCACCTGGATGGGTTGGGTCCCAGCTCTGGGAAGTCACTGATGGAGTACCTCTTGTTCCTCTGGCTGCACCCCCCATCTCTGATTCTCAGCCGCCGCCCCCCCCCTCCGGAGTCAGCCCCAGGGGGCCATCTGCTGCCTGCTAATCCCAGCAGGAAGAGTGCTAGCATTTTCTGAACAGCTAAGGCTGGGTCCTATCCTGTCTTTGCAGTTCCCTGTTCATGTTCATAGCCATTCCTTTACCGATCTCCGAAAAGTCTCTCCTGTAGCATTCTGAGATCCTATGCCCTGGCGGTCAGTACTTTTGTTGTTGTTTTGGGTTTGGAGGCGGGTTTCTCTGTGTAGTCCTGGCCATCCTGGAATTTACTCTGTAGACTAGGGGGCCCTTAAACTCAAGAGATCTGCCTGCCTCTGCCTCCTGAGTGCTGGGATTAAAGGTGTGCAGGGTCAGGTTTAGCAGTGAGGTCAGTACTTTTAAGCCTAGGGTTTAAGGTGAGACCACCCCAGATGGTGGGGGGCCAGGGCAGGGTACCAAACTCTCCAGAGCCTTTCTGTTCTCGCTTAAGCAAAAGGGTGATTACCTAACTGTGGGTGCAGATTGCAGTATTTAAGAGGTCAGTGTTTTTTTTTTTTTTTTCTTCTTCTTCTTCTTCTTCTTCTTCTTCTTCTTCTTTTGTTTCATTTTGTTTCTCTTTTTTTGGGGGGGAGGGGGAGGTTTGGTTTTCCAAGACAGGGTTTCTCTGTGTAGCCTTGGCTGCCGCCTGCCTCTGCCTCTCTGAGTGCTGGAATTAAAGCCAGGTCCGGCTTTGTTTGTTTTTTCAAGACAGAGTTTTGGTTTTTGGTTTTTTTGTAGCCTTGGTTGGGCTGGAACTTGCTCTGTAGACCTGGCTGGCCTCAAACTCACAGAGATCTGCTTGTCTCTGCCTCTCAAGTGCTGAACCACCACAGCCCAGCTGAGGTCAGTGTTTATAAATGCTTGAAGCCTGGCACACACAATTAAGTGCCCTATAAATGCTGGCAACTTTGCTTCCAACCAAAAGTGATTGTCCAGCTTACTGCTGAAGTCCTGAGCCTCTGCTGTTCTGAGACCTTGAGGACCTGGCTCCAGGATAGTCCCAAAGAAAGGGCTTCAAGGCAGACGGGTTGCTCCGCTGGAATCACCAGGTTTCCGGGCAGGAGTTCAGGCTCTGCTTAGCAATCCTGAACCACAGTGTGGATCTGCCAGGATATCAGGAACCCAGGGCAGTGACAAAACTGTTGGGGGCAATAGGAGGCATGTACCAGGAGCCGACCTAGCATGTAAGTGGCCAGGCAGCCAGCATGAACCCATCCCAGGCAAGGAGATGGAGCTGTGCCACAACAGCAACCCCTTTATAAGCCTTCCATAAACCTGACACATGAAAGCTACATGAGAGGCAGTGACAGAAACCAGGCCTCAGGCCAGTGAGATGGCTCAGTGCAGCATAAGGCTGTTTGCCACCAAGCCTGAAATCCCAAGTTTGATTCCTGGAACCCACACAGGTTTTCCTGGCTCCATCTCTGTGTGTGTGTGTCCAAGTATGCGTGTGCACGAACACATTTAAAATAAGTATGTATTATAGGAACTGAGCCTCCACAAAACTTAATCCATTAGAGGACAAGATGCCTAACAGGCTATGGAGATGGCTTACTGCTTGAGAGCACTTGCTGCTCCTCCAAAAGACCTAACAGCTTCTGACTCTAGCTCCAGGGGAACTGATGCCCTCTTCTGACCTCCTTGGGAACCACACACAGGTACAGGTACATATACACCTATACATAAATAAAAATGTTCTTTTAAGACAGGGTTTCTTTGTGTGGCCTTGGCTGTCCTGTCTGTAGACCAGGCTGGCCTTGAACTCACAGAGCTCCACCTGCCTCTGCCTCCCTAGTACTGGGGTTAAAGGTGTATACCACCACTGCTGCTGCTGCTGCTTTTCCTCCTTTTAATTTAAAAATAAATCTTGGAGGGGGGGGGTGCAGAGAGAAGGCTAGGTAGATTACAGGCATGGTGGTGCATGCCTGTTGGAAGGAAGGTAGAGGCCAGAGATTCACGAGGTCAAAGTAAGTCATCTTCATGTAATAAGCTCCCTGTCTTAAAAAGCTAGAACTGGGCCATTGAGATGGCTCAACGGGTAAAGGTCCTTGCCATGAAGCCTGATGACATAAGTTTTATGCCCCATCCATATAGAGAAAGGAGTGAACCAACTAGTAAGTTGTCATCTGACCTCTATATGTCCCATGCCCATATGTGCTTGTCCATATACACAGAAACATATAGACAAATAAATACATGCCATTAAAAAAAAAAAAAAAAGCTAGTGGAGGCTACAGCCAGGATACAAAGTGAATAAATTGTAATTAATAATAATAATAATAAAGAAAAATTTAAAAAGCTAGCTGAGCGTGGTGGTACATGCATTTAATCCCAGCACTCAGGGAGGCAGAGGCAGGTGGATCTCTGAGAGTTTGAGGCCAGCCTGGTCTAGAGTGAGTTCCTGGACAGCCAAGGCTACACAGAGAAATCCTGTCTCAAAAGACAAACCTAACAACAAATATTAAAGGGCTGGTGAGACGGCTTAGTGAGCAAAGGCACTTGCTATTAAGCTTTATAGCCTCAGTTGGATCTACAAGACCCACAGGGTAGAAGGAGGGGATTGCCTGTACATACATGAGCCCACACATATACACAATGAAGAAATGTAATAAAAAATTTACAGATTCCTAAAAGGCACATAATTACAGTGCTGTGTGGTCCAAGACAGGGCTACGGTTCTCTGCACAACCAGAGGAAAGTTTCATGGAGATCTGATTCCCTGTCCCCTCCCATGAAGGCCCAACTCGTGGCCTTACACGTTCCTGGAAAGTGCTCAACAAGTAAGCCACACCCCCAGCCTGTGGGATGATTCTTCAGTCAGGATAGGTACCCAAACCTCTACCCCAGCTCTCTGAGCAGATGCGGCATGAGGATCGCTTGACCCCAGGAGTTTCAGATTAGGCTGGGTGACAGAGAGAGGCCTGTGCAGTGTCTCTGCCACTACTGGGCCTGCTAACCTCCATGAAGGTGAGCAGCACCTGCTCGGCCTAGCAACCCATGTCAAGGGCCAGTGTTTGATCAGCCTGAGCCAAACAGGCCAAGGTAAGAAGGGACAGAACTCAGACAACTGACAGGTGAAGGGACAGGGCACAGACTCTGTTTATTGAGTGGTAGGCACAGGAGAGGTAGCTGGCTCCAGTGTGGAAGCAGAGGTCAGGCCAGGGCACTGTGGGCATCTGGTATCCCAGGGGCCTTGTCCCCATCTTAGGGGGATGGCACAAGCTCACTACGATAGGAGCAGCAAGGAGCCGGCCAGAGGGGAGAAGCAGCCACAGTCCCCTGGCATCCTGGGCAAGAAGCAGCAGATGTACTTGGCACCGGGGCTGGGGATAAGGGGAGCTGGGGCCTGGGTGCTCTAAAGGGAGTGAAAGGAGATCACGTCTGTGGCGTGGAATAGAGGCTGTGATGGTGGCTGCCAGGTCCTGGCACCTGGGAGAAGAGCAGAGGAGTGGTCCTCGTCTGGCTGGCCCCGCCCCAGCCTGGCTCACGCCCGATGGCACCATACCAGCTGCCAGAGCCCAGGCTGCCGGACATGCTGCAGGCAGAGAAAAAAGGTAAATGCCAGGCAGTGCCCAGGGCTACATTCATGAGGTGGGGGAGTCGAGAGAGGTTGAAAACAGAGGGCCTCATGTCATGCTAGGGGCAATGGCAAGTGCATTTAGCACTGGGGACCCAAAGGGGGCTCCACTTGAAACAGGTTGGGGAATGATGGCCTAGCTCTTGGTCCCCACTGCCTTAGGGAGCCAGACAGGATCCCAAGGCACTTCAGGCAGAGTAGAGGCTCCTACCTGGTGCTCTCACTCCGGCTGTGCTCCCAGGAGCAGCCCTCATCCTCACAGTGCCCAGCCCGGTCAAAGAAGTAGGAACGGGAGCCAAAAACCTGCCCATTGAGGATTCGACTGGCGCTCTGCAGATGTAGGGGAAGAAGTCGCTACTGTGGATATTTATTCTCCTACCTCCATAACTGTCCCAGGACCCCTGACCCGAATTCCCAGTGCCCAACCTTCTCCACTGGACTAAGAAGTGGCTGGGGACCCTACCAGATCTTGCAGGGGCCGGTGCACCCGGAAGAAGCCCACCAGCAAGGTGGTGGGCAGCAATTCCCACACGAAGAGGATGAGGCCAAACACCAGGTAGCCTTTGTTTCCTAGGTCATTCACCAGGTCTGCCTGGGGGAAAGCAGAGGCTGAGGACAGCCTGCCACCACACCGACCATGCTGGCAGGACCCTGCACAGCTGGAGGCTAGATACTCTGGTTACCAAAGAAGGGACAAACCATGACCAATGCCTACCTGGTCAGATACGTTGTACCAGTCATAATCGAAGGCATCTAGCCGGCTCCGAGGGGCCAAGGCCAGAGCTGCCAAGTTGTAACAGGCCCGACTGGCATAGAGCAGGACCATGGCACCCCCTATGGCAGCTGCCTGGCATACGCTGGTCCCCTGGCAGAGAGAATAAGAGAGGATCTTCAGGGAGAGGAGGCTCCTATCTTCCTCCACATCCTCAGGAACTCTGTCCAAGGATACTACATCAGAGCTGGTGGCCCTACCTTGGCCTCTAAGTAGATGCTAGTGGAGGGGGCTCGCCGGGCGACGAGGCAGAGGCAGGCAGCAAGCGAGAGGGCACAGATGACGAAGAGGGAGTCGCTCACCAGGACGCGTACCAGCAGGAGGACCCAGGGCTGTGCCTGGCGCTGGCGGGACAGCACTGCACACAGTACATTCACCAGCAAAAAGAGCAGTGAAGCACCCACGAAGGCCCCTCGGACAGCCAGCCTGCAGCCCACAGCAAAGTCAGCCCCAGACCATGGATCTCTTTGGCCCTCACCAACAACCCTGATTCCTCAGGAGACCCCAGGGCCAATCAGAACTCAGACAGTCAAATCCAAACTCTGCTGGTCTAATTTTTGCATATGAGGAAACTGAGGCTCAGTGGGGTGAGGTGATTAAAAGCTACGGCATCGTAGAAAGAGCTCCAGACTGGGGGTGGGGAGCCAAACATCTGGATCTGAGCCCTGACTGGGCCTCCTCCAGCTGTGTGACCTTGAGCATGTTGCTCTGTCTCACTGGGCCCCAGTTTCATCTCTCAAGTGAGGAGAACATCGTCTCAGGTGAGATGTGAAAAGATGCTTGTGAAATAGCTTTATGAACTGGAAGACACCGTGTAAAAGGACAGGGGCGGCGGTGCAGCCAAGGTCACCAGAAATGCAGCAGGACTTTATATATCTCATGGACTGGAGCCTTGATTTCTCCACCACGGGTGATGCCGGGGCTCTCTCCCCCTGACAATATCACAGCTATCTGTACCAGGCGCTTTCACTTTCTCCAAGCTCTGTCACAAACCCTCCTGATGTTCTTCTCATCTCAGCCCTGATGGGTGGGCTCCTCCCTGCCACTGACCCATTCGTCTCCAGTACTTACAAGCCTCGGCTCATCTCTGGCCGACGCTTCGCCTTGGCCTTGAACACCACCTGGGAGCAGAGACACCCATCACTCGTTTGGATCCCTGGGCTCGCCCTCCTACTCCCACCACACCAGTTCCCGGGATTACCTGGGCAAAGTAGAGGTTCATAAGCGTCAGGGTGAAGAACTGCAGGCAGACGGGGCAGCAATAGAGAAGCCAGAAAGGCAAGGGCCCCAGGCGGTTGGCCCTGGGAGTATCTCGGAAGTAGAAGGAGAAGAGTGTGGTACGCAAGGCTGCCCAGAGCAGACAGAGTGCCAGGAACACTGTCTGATAGCTGAGGCGCTTGTGCCCATATAGAAGCACCAGCCAGAGCTGGGCATAGACAGAGAAGAAGAGCAGAGCATATAGGGCAGTGTAGGCAGCGGTCAGCCCCAGGGTCACTGTAGGCGGCAGTGCAGGGACCAGCCCAGCTGCAGGGACCAGGCCAGACAGGTTACTCTCCATGTCAAGAAGGGAGGCCTGAAACCCAGAGACAGAGATGGAGGGCTGGCCAGAAGCCAGGGAAATAAATACGGCGGGGTGGGAACTGCAAGGAGGCAATGAGAGGGACTCTGGAGGGAAGAAGTTGGGGTTGCCAGGCCTTTCCTCCTCAACAGAGTCAGGGGGGGGATGGGCATGGGTAGCCTGGGCCCTGTACCCGTCACTCTGGAGTGTGTTAAGGGTAGTCTTTCCTATTCAGGGCAAATGAAGTGGGGGTTGGGGTGTCCTCCCTGGGCCAGCTCCAGAGCCAAGATGGGAGGATGCAGTGGCACAGAGAGTCCCTGGCCTTGGTCGCTCGTGTCCGGCTGGCAGGAGGGGGAGAGCCGGCCGATGCCCGTCAGCTTAGGGCAGCGGCCACTGCGGGGGCGCCCAACGCCCCGCTCTCCCCCTCCCCAAGCTTGGTTGCTCTTTCCCCTCCAATAATCCGGATTGGGGCCTTCTTCCTCTGTCCTCAAGATTCCAGACGTTGTTTCCCCACCGCGTCCACCCTCAGCCCCGGTGAATAAGAGGAAGTCGATGTCAGGTCCTCAGGCCGCTGCTGGGGAAGCGGGATCCGGTCGCTGGGACACCGGGCTCCAGCTCCCCGGCTCCCGCTGCTCCGCCCCACTCCTGCGCCTGCGCGGGCGTCGTTCGCTACGCAAAGTGCGTAGCGGCGAGCTGGGACTCCGAAGCCGTGCGCCTCTCCCGGCGTGCATCTCTTGTAGAATCGGCGCAAGGTGCGCTGCCGGCGGGCGTCCGGGGTTACGGATGGCGGCCGGCGGCCGAGAGGCGGAGACCAGTCCGCACGCAGCAAGCACCCGGGTTACCCGTGCCCTGGGCCGTCCGCTCTTAATGTTAAAGCGACCACCATTTTCCACACTGAGATCCCCAAGCCTATATCGAGATCAGCGTGCCCGTATGGGGGCGGCAACGACTTCCCCGCAAAGTCTCTGAAGGAAACTTCCGCCCACAACAAAGATGGCAACCGGGCCCCGCCCCCTAGCTTCTGTCTGCGGGACCCCGTGCTCCGGCCTACGGGCGCTTGCACCTGTCCTGGCAGCAGAGGCCCATAGATCCCCACGGATCGCCCTTCTGGGTGCCCTGTCCCTTTTCCCGCACCCGGGCGGCTATCCAGCCGGGAAAGAGCTTCCGAGATGGCGCGGGGAGTGGTCCCCAAGGCGGGCAGCGCGAGGCCTCCACAACCTGGAGGAGTAGGAAGGAGCCAGTCTCCCCATCCCGATCACTCGGTCCAGGGGGAGCAATAGCCATCGCAGCGAACATTGCATCCGACGGCCGAGCTTCAGTGGACGGCTCTACAAGTAGTCACTGAGCTGTTTACAGAGTTTTCACCAGCTCCCCAGGGAGGTGTCATTAGCCCCATTTTCTAGGAGGGAATTCGGGCCCAGAGGGGCTGGAGGACTTATCGGCCGAAGCAGGCCCCCAGGATCCAAATGGGAACCCCAAAGCAGCCCTCGCTGGCTCCTGCACACGCCTCAGGCGTGAGGAAGTCCGATCCCGGAATCCGGAGCCTAGGGAGCGACGCGGGAGGAAGGCGGTGGAGACCAACAGGTCGACGGCAGGGGTGGGACCTGGCTTGGGGTGGCCCCGCCTCCAGAGCAACCCGGGATTTACTTCGAGAAATGATTGGGTCAGATCTGTGACAGTTCCCGTCGCCCAGGAAACTAGGGCCAGGCACCCTTAGAACTAGAGGGAGGAGGCAGGCCCGGGTTAGGGGCCTCGGGATCGGGCTTGGGGTGAGACCTATTCGCGGTCATAACGGGCAGGCGGGACGCACCAGGGCCTGGACCGAGCTCTGAAGAGAGACTTAGTGCTCCGGGGACAGCCAGGCCAGACCCAGCAGACAGATGAGGGATTGGGAAGATTGGTGGGCCTGGTGGGGGTTGAGGGCTGTTCTCGTGGGAGAGGGAAGCCAGGGGCGCCTCTCATCTCACTGTTTGCCTAGCTGTGTACTAAGTACTTCTTACCTTGTCTCTACAGCCCAGAGTATGTTCCAGATCCCAGAGTTTGAGCCGAGTGAGCAGGAAGACTCCAGCACTACAGATAGGGACCTGGGCCCTAGCCTCACTGAGGACCAGCCAGGTCCCTACCTGGCCCCAGGTCTCCTGGGGAGCGTCGGTCATCAGCAGGGACGGGCGGCCAACAGCAGTCATCATGGAGGTAGGTTCCCCACTACCATCATCATTTGCCTGTCTCTTGTCCCTCACTCAGTTGCCCTTACATCCCTGTTGCAGCCATACTTCCTGAAGACTTGTGGGGAAGCCCCAGATAGCTCTGAGCCCCAAACTGCCTCTTCTACAAACCAACTGTCACCACCACTATAAGACCACCTGGTTAATTCACAGAAATGTATGGCATGTCTTTAATGATCAAGCTGATTCACTGGATGCTCAAAACAGACTCTCTTATTATGGCCCCAGGTTAGACGTCAGTGGGAGGCAGACAGATCCCCAAAGAGGAAGTGACTTTCCTAAGGTCATCTTTAAGAGGTGTTGTCGGAAGACTTCACAATGCCTGGAATAGGGCCTTTCAGTGGCCAGTAGGTGACCCCGTGGCTCACCCAGAGCAAGACTGTTCTTGCATAGATGGGACTGGCAGAAGACCAGTGTGAGGTTGGAAAGCGTGAGCCAAGATGGAGGGAGAGGCGCTGGAAGGTACTAGTTATTTCTCCGTACACTGCACTCCCCACTGTTGCTCCTGTACAGCCGCAGAAATCTGAACTCAACCAGGAATGTCACTAGCTTGCTAGAGCCTAAATTGCAAGGCCTCACGTATCCCAGGGGCTGCCTCAAACCTGCCCTACGGTTGAGACTAGCCTTGAACTCCTGATCCTCCCAACCACTATCTGCCAAGTACTAGGATCACAGGTGGGCCACCGTGCCTTGCATTCCACACTTTTTTTTTTTAATTGTGTGTATATGTGTGCCTGTGTATGCATGTACAAGTACAGGTAGGTGCCTTGGAGTCCAGAAAAGGGTGTTGGAGCCCCTAGAGCTGAAGTGAGCTGTCCCACATGTGACCTGTCCCAGATGGCTGCTGAGAACTGAACTCACATCCTAAACAAGAGCAGTAAATGTTCTGAACCGCTGAGCCATCTCTCCAGCCCCACACAGCTCCACTTCTCTTCCTCTTTCTTTTCTTTTCTTTTTTTTTTTTTTTTTGTTGTTGTTGTTGTTTTGTTTTTGAGGCAGGAATTTACTGTATAGCCCTGGCTGTCCTGCACTCATTTGGTAGACCAGGCTGGTCTGGAACTCACAGAGCTCCGCCTGCCTCTGCCTCCTGAGTGCTGGGATTAAAGGTATGTGCTGCCTTACCCAGCCCAGATTTCTTTCTTTTCGTCTTCTTCTTTTTTTGTTTTTGTTTTTCAACACAGGGTTTCTCTGTGTAACCCTAGCTGTTTTGGAGCTTGCTCTACCAGGCCAGCATCAGACTCAAAGATCTGACTGCCTCTGCCTGTCCCAAGTGATGGGATTAAAGATATCTTGCTTGTTCTTTTTCTGTTCCTAGCTCCCATCCATTCTCTGCCCTTACCTGGCTCCTCCTTCATGTCCTAGAGGGGTGGGACAGACCATCTACTGAGGATCTGTCAATGCTCAGGAGATCATGTGTATTGTGGGTAAAGAGCAGAGTCCCAGGGTTATGGAGTGACTGATGTGTGTCTTACCATGGAGGTCAGGGCAGGTCTTAGGAAAGAGCAGCCATAAAAGTAAGGCCGAGAGCTAGCAGCTCTGATGCCTGTGTCTCAGGCAAAGAGAAGAAGTTAGGAGGCCTCAGGACAAAAAGTGCAGGGCCTCGAGTGGGGAGAGGTATAGATGGGCCAGTGGAGCTCTGTCAATTTAGTCTGCACAGGTCTTGAAGACTTCTGTAAGAAAAACTTTGACTGAAATCCTGGGAAGAGTTTTTTGGTTCCTTCTTCCAAGTGCTGGGATGGAACCCAGGGCCTTTGCATGCTGAGCAAGTGCTTTTCTTCTGAGCAGCATCCCAGCCCTAGGTCTGTAATGAAGACAGTGACAGGCTGGGTGTGGGGTGGGAAGGAAAGAGGTGCTAAGGAAGACACCCAGCACCCTTGGCAGATGGAAGAGAGAGATGGAGGAAGATCGGGTAGGAACTTTTAGACATATAGGTGGGATTCCAGAGGCTGCTGGTGAGAGCTGCAGGGAGTTGAGCTGAGTAGTGTTTGTGACTGCCAGCCAGGAGTGGGTGTTGGAGGGTATGTGTGAGGAGGAAATGGTGGTTGTGGGGTAAGCCGGCCAAGCCTCAATGAGAGACACTGCCTTGGGTATTATACCTATACCAAGGGGTTGCTCCAACAGGAGGGAGGTGGCAATTCACTGTCATCATACTAGGATAAAGTGACAGGGCCAATGTTATGCCATGGAATGAGACACTAGGAAGAGGGATGAGACACTGTCATAGGAGGAAGAGCAAGCAGGGAACAGGATGAAGTAGTCGGAGATCAGGAGGACCACTCAGGTTCAATAAACTCAGTGTAATGTGTGTATAAGCCTAAGGCATGGTGCAGGGAGACACTGACAGGCTCTGCAAACAGCTTTAGAAAGGGCAGTGGAAGTGAGGCCTGCTGTATCAAGGAGCAGAGAGAGGTGCACCGCAGGTCTGTGAAGGAAAGATGGCTGTGAGTGAGGATCGCCAGGGGAAGCAGCCAGGGGAAGCTAGCTAATTTAATTTTCAATGATCTCAAAAGCAGAACTGGTGTGATAGTATATGCCTATAATCTCAGCCCCAAGCACGGATGACTTTGAGGCCAGCTTGGGCTACTGAGACTCTGTCCCAGCAAAACATAGCAACACAAGTGACTTCCATAGGATATTTATTTGCAAGTGTCAGATCTGCCAGAGCCATGGAACTTCTGGCCATCTCTGTGTGTAGAGCCAGCTCACTCTGGTCCTGTGTCTCCTGACTACCTGCACCAAGGCCCATGGGCTAGGGGCATTCCTAGGGCAATGCCTGGGACAACGGAAAGAGGAGGAAGGCCATAAAATAGGAGAAGCAGCCATGACTGGCCTCTGGGCCAGACTGCAGCAGCTGAGGAGGGCCCTTTAAGTGCCAATTGAGAGGTTAACTGCTTCTGCCTTAATTTTCTCATCTGTAAAATGGGAAGAGAACCGATCCTTCTTCACAGGGTGCAGTAAGGGCACCTGAGTTCATATGTACAATGCTTAGAAGCTGCCTGGCACAGAAGCATCATGGAGGCCTATACCCTATTACTGCCATAGTTGCGGTTATCATTGTTGCTGTGAATTGGCTCGTTCTCTGCAGATCAGGGGTTTTATCACTAGAAGTAAGTACCGCGGTACCATGCAGTACCGCGGACACTCACTGCTCTTGCATGGCAAACATGAGGCCCGGGTTAGACTCAAGGCCTGAAGGTATACAGTTAGACAGCAGGAAGCTATTGAAGGTTTAAGGTAGGCATAGCTGGGTTTAGAACAGGGACTGGGAGGCCACAGACATGAGCTAAATCCCTTGTGCTTTTGCACAGCCCTGGAGCTAGGAATATTTTTGTTGCATGTTGAGGCTGTAAGATCTGGGCCCAGAGCCTCTAGCTTACTAGGCAGGCACTCTCCCACTGAACCACAACCCCAGCCTTTGTTACCGCCACCGTTGAGACAAATCTCACTGTGTTGCCCAAACTCCTCCTGGTTTAAGCAACCCTCCTGCCTCAGACACCCAGCTAGCAAGTAGTGGGAACTGCAGGCTTACACCACCTCCAGGAACAGCTCTTTCTTTATTTTGATTTTTCGAGATAGCGTTTGTCTGTGTAGCCCCGGCTGTACTAGAACTAGGTCTGCTGACTTTGAACTCCTCCTGTCTCTGCCTCCCAAGGGCTTGGAGTAAAGGCGTGTGCTACCACAGTTTTTATCTATTGAAAAAAATCCAGGGAACAAGCTGTTATAATAGGTAAAATTTTTATGAAATTGAAATTTCAGTGTTACTGAGTAAAGCAACAGTGGGAAGAAGTGTTGTTAGGGACATTTTATCTCTGAATCCAATTATGAGCAAGCTGGGGTGTTACAGAGGCCCAATAGAATGCTTGGCCAGAGTATGGCAAGGTAAGGCCCTAGGCTGAAACTGTAACATACCTTTCCTCAAGGCTACTGCACAGGTCTGGGCAGGCCACTGTGGAGACAAGGCAGGCAGAGTAGCCCGCCCTTCCTGAGGGCAGGGCCTCACTGTGCTTGGAAGCCTCTGGGACACCACTGTTTTTGTTTTTGTTACTTTTTTCCTCCTCACCATGTTATGGGCTTTTTTTTTTTTTTTTTAACAATCAATTTTATTTATTTATTGTGTGTAAAGACATATATGGAGGTCAGAGGATAAATTTTAGGAGTTTGGTTCTCTCCTACCTTCTGGGTCTCTAGGAAGCTTCTTGCACTGTGAATTTTGCTGGTTCAGCCACACCTGCTTACCCAGAAGTCCTGTAGGTAAGGAGCTTAAAGCTAAAGGTGCATATCAACCAGTCTCTTTCCACTTCCCCCAACCCCAGTCTGTATGGGAGGGTGACATAGGAGGGCAGGCCCTAGCGCCCGCTCAGAGAGGAGCCACCCATCCCTTCCCCTGAGGGACCGAGGCGGGTCTGGGCCACACCCCACCCACCCTCTTTGTCCAAGGAAATCACAGAATTCCCAGGTTCTTTCCAGTAAATGCAAAGATATCTTTTAAAATCCCATTAAGGGGGTGGAGATGCAGCTCGGGTTTTAGAATACCAGCCTAGTGTGCAGGCAGCCCTGACTTCCGGGGCCTCAGCAGCACATAGACTGCAGCTGGGAAGTGGGAGCAGGAGGATCAGAGCGTGAGGCCAGCATTCCGCCACCTGAGACCCTGTCTCATCAAGCAGTGAAAAGACGTCTGACACAAACGGGTGTCACTTCCTGCCGAGGTGCTTGGCATTGCTGGGTGCCTTTAGTAACTGGCAGTCCTCCATGCCACAGCATAGGCTCTTAGCATAGCTGACACTAGTTGGGGAGAGAGAAAATGACTTGTCCAAATTGGGCCACCAAAGTGGTCTGTGATGCTGTTGAAGGAAGGCCGACACATAAGAGGAACACAGACTCCGGAGGTAGACTGGTTGTTGGCACCAGCTTTTGTCATTTCTGGTGTGACCTTGGGTAAGTTGCATACTCTGTTTGCCTCAGTTTCGTCCCTGTAAAATGAGGAACTTCCTTGATAATGAGTTGAGAACTAAATGAATCAATGCAAGGGAAGCATCCAGCCTGACCTGATCAGAGTCTTAATTGATTGGTTGGTTGTGAGGTGCTGGGATGGAACCCAGGTCCTCGAACAGAGGATTTTTTTTTTTTTTTAATGAGACAGTGTTTGTATATAACTCTGGCCGCCCTGGAACTCATTTTGTAAACCAGGCTGGCCTCTGCCCTGGGTTAAAGGTTGCACCATGCCTGGTGCTAAATGAGGATTTTAACACTGCTGATGAAAGCAGATTTGTTCAGGGAGGGGGCACATGTGTTAGTGTCTAAGTGCTAGTGCAGGTCAGAAAACAGTTTGTGGAGGTCATTTTCTTTCTCCCTTGACATGGATTCTCAGGCTCCCACTTGGGTTATCAGGCTTGCACTGAAAGCTCCTTTACAAGCTGAGCAATCTCACCAGCCCTTGTTTTGCTTCTTGGTGAATGAGATGGGACTGAGCTCAGACCAAGACCACCTGGAAGTCATTGCCCTTCCCGCCCCCTGCGCAGCACCCAGCGGATGTGACTGTAGGGCTCAGGTCCAGTTGAACTGACATTTCACTATTCAGGGTGATGCGCCACCAAGAGACTCAGGCATGTTCCTGTCAGTGTCTGACTTCCTTCTGGGTAAGATGGGGAGGACTCCACATCCGCCACACAAGAGCCAAGAAGCCAATGGGTGCTCAAGGGACAGGATGGAGCGCTCTCCTGTCTTATCTGTTCTCATGGTAACTCTAAGAGACAGGCTGTCCCCGTGCCACAGAGAAAGGCATGAAGGTGCCAGGGAATTGCGGCAACGTGTTCAGCATCGCACAGTGAACCCACCGAGTGGAAGCACTGTGTAGATAAACAGTGGTGGTCTGTGCTGGCCGGATGCGTTGAGCAGACCCACTTTCACTACGATCCCCTCCTCACCTCTGGCTTTTTGTTACATATCTGGTAGGGATCTTCAGGCTGCAGAGTTTTGCCAGCTGACCTTTGAGAGAGGGAGGCAAATATACCAACCACCCTCACCTCCAAACCTGAGGGCAATTTTACCTCCTCCCAAGACTTCCCTGTAGGCAGCAGGCTGTGCCTAGTTCTGGACTCTGCCCCTGGGAGTGGTTCTGAGGCTTCACTGGTCCTGACAGAGGGTTACAGATGGCCCAAGATACCCAGATCAGAAAAGCAAATCACCCACAATGCCCTCGCAGCTCACAGGGCATGGCTAGACTCGGACGTGACCTTCACACAGGTGACATAGTGTGTAGCCTAGGTGAGGCTGTTTCTTTGTGAAGAGAGGAAGCTTAAGTTGGAATTGAAGGGTGGCTGGACAAGGCAAGAGCTGCACAGCCTGATGGGCTCTGGTTCCAAGCCCAGGACTTGTGGCCTCAGGGCTTAACATTTGTTAACCTGAGTAAACTTGACTTCTCTGAATACCTTTTTATCATTGTGTGTTGTGTCTGCATCCCCCCCCCCCACACACACACACACTTTGTGAGACAAAAGACTACATGTTCTCCTGTAGTGTAGGCTGGCCTTGAACTCAACCTCCTGCCTCCACCAGTTCTGAGATTATAAATATGAACCACCATGCCCAGCTCAAACTTCCATATTTGGTCTATAGAACCAGGTGGTAGGATAGTTTAGCACACAAATGCTAAACTATCTCAGAAAAATAAAGCAGAGCGCCCCCACACCAGTTCTGCACATTCTCCAGAAGAGTTGCAATAGGGGGGGTCCAGAGCGTTCTGTAAGACCCCTGCAGGGACGGAGCAGCAGCAGACCTTCCTCCTTAAGGATTGTTGAGACCGTCGTAGTACTATCTTACGCCCGTATTTTGTGAAAGGCACAATAGAATGCCCGTTTGTACACTAAAGGCGTCCTTCGTTACCAGCACTGGACATGGATTTGTGGATGTTAACTCGATTTCTCACAGTCGCCCTCTGAGCCCCTCCATTCACAAAGGAGGGACTGGAGCTGTTCGAGGGCGGCGGTGGTGCGGACCATAGGGGGTCGCGATTTACACCTCTTCCCTCCCTGACTTCTGCAGGCGCTGGAGCTGCGGAGACCCGGAGTCGCCACAGTTCATATCCCGCGGGGACCGAGGAGGATGAAGGGATGGAGGAGGAGCTCAGCCCCTTTCGGGGCCGCTCGCGTTCGGCTCCCCCCAATCTCTGGGCTGCGCAGCGCTACGGCCGCGAGCTCCGAAGGATGAGCGATGAGTTTGAGGGTTCTTTCAAGGTGAGCGTCAGCGTTAGGCGTGACAAGACCTGCACCCTCTGCCGCCAGACCAGCCTGCGACCTATGGCATGTCGGGATTTGTAGTTTCAGAGCCACCAGGTTCTCTCGTATTCTAGGGCATGCCGGGACGTTGTAGTCCAGGGATCTCCCTCTTCCTCCTTTGTCCGAAGCCCCGCCCCCAGTCCCGGGACCTGTGGGCACCTGTAGTCCAGAGCTGGACCGCTGCAAGAACCGGGATCTGTAATAGAGATCCGCTTCAGGCCAAAATTCTGAACCCTCAGGTTCGTCACATACGAGGCTTACTGGTATCTGAGGCCTTCCCCAACTTCTTGAGCCACTTGAAATTCTTGAGTTCAGCCCCATCCTCTAAACATTAGCTCTCTGGCTCTGCGGTTTCATTTAGGGTCCCGGCACTCGCATCCAACCGAGTCTCTGCCCGCTGGTGACGGTGGTCTTTGTATTCCGACTAAGAGGCGGGTGGTGGAGACCTGATTCGGGTGAGGCTCACTCATTTAACTCTCTCCTCCTTCTCTGAAGGGACTTCCTCGCCCAAAGAGCGCAGGCACTGCAACGCAGATGCGACAAAGCGCCAGCTGGACGCGCATTATCCAATCCTGGTGGGATCGAAATTTGGGCAAAGGAGGCTCCGCCCCCTCCCAGTGATCTGCTCTACATTCCCGGAACTCGACCCTTTCCCGCCATATTGTATGTGGGCGGAAGTCTTCCAAGGCCTTAGGGGAAAAGGGGTGGGGATTGCTGTGTCCCTAAAACTGGGAGGAGAGCTGAGTCCCTTCCGGTGCGTGCAATAGTTATCGAGGGGTGGTTCTCGTTGGGAGTTTCAACTTTTCCCACCCGCCCCCAGCCTCCGGAAGTGGCTGTTTTTCCCTCTCCGGTACCCGGCTGCCCTCAGGCGCCAGTGCTAAGTTTCGAGCCCGGGTAAACGGTGAATGGGCTACTACCCAATTGACCGAGCTGGGGACCCGTGGTCGCGCAAAAGTGCTTTATAATAAAGCCCGCGCCTGTGCCGCCGCGTCTCTGTCCTTCGTTTGGGGTTCTGCAAATCAGACTACTATCGCTGATAGTTTTTAAGAGAGACTGGTGTTACACGTAGGGGAAACAGCCTCTATCCAAGGACCCAGAAGAGGTCGAGGCGACCAGCGGAGTCAGGCCGCTGGACTTGGGAATTGGGGAGCGAGCGGAGCGTGGCCGGACCCCTGGGATTGCCAGGCCCTTATCTCTAATATGGTAATTGGGAGCCGTGGGCCTCCGGAATTCAACGTTCTGCAAACCATGTCGAGGCTCCCCCGGGGCGGGGGGGGGGGGCGGTCATTTGCGTCTATTTGGGTCAGTCCTTGTGAGCAGCTACTGTGTGACCTGCCTGGGGCCAGCGCTGCTCAGGGACCTGGCAGGGCAGGCGGGGCGGGGTAGCATGATCGCTAGGGAACGGAGAAGCTTCTCACGGGGACCTGGAGCAGGGCCCAGAGCTCAGTTCAGAGATTTATTGGCGCCCCTATAGCCCAGGCCAGTGCTTTGCGCTGGATATGCAGATAAATTGCGCCACAACTCTGCTTCCCGGAACATGGGAGGGGGTGGCCCCCATGGCAGGGCCTCAAGGATGTAGGTCAGACTTGAAGGTGAGGCTGTGTCTGGGACTGACACTTAGCAGAGGGACATACCAGTATGTTGGGACTTAGCTTGCTTTTGAGGACCCTAGCCCAAAGGGGGTGTTTGGGAAAATGGAGGTCAGCCAGTCAGCAATATGGGACATGGAATACAGGAAAGTGGCAGATCTGGGAACAGGACATGGTCTGACAGCCGAAGAAGGTGACTTGGGCAATGGTAGGAATCTCAAAGGAGATCAGAGGCCTTAGCCCTGATCAGAAGCCCAACCCTGGCCACCCAGTTTTTCTGTCCTTCCCTACCCAATCTGTTTGCCTGGGGCTGCAACAAAAACAAAGCAAAGAAAACACTTCATTGGCAGGAGATAAGCCCAGATAAGAGGCTGCCTTCCTCTGGAGGGAGCAGCCAGTCCCCAGCCGCCAGGAAGCTGGGAGAGGCCTTGAAGAAGTGCCAGCCTGCCCCAGCTGCAGAGCCTGGCCCATCCTCTTGCCACAGGGTCTCTGGTGTTCCTGGCTGATCCTACAGGCTGCTGAAGACCTTGTAGCACAGAGCTAGCACACAGGCTATCCAGCCTCCCAGCAGGTCTCCACTTAGCCCAGTAAATGCAGCTTCCACTTGGGCCTGTCTCCATATCTGTAAAACAGGCAAAGGGTCTCCCTCACAGGGGTGAGGGGCCACAGGGCATTCACAGCGTGTCAGAGCCAGGCCAGCAAGTTCCTTTCTCCTAAGAGCTGTGGACCTTCTCACCAATCTGAAAACTCAGCTCCAATCAGCCACTCCATCCCTGTATGGGGCCCTCAGCAGCCCTGGCAGAAGACGCTGGGTGCTTAGGTCAGAGGGAACAGGAAGGGGGACAGGGAAAGCTTCCTGAAGCAGGATCTGAGCAAAGAAAGACAGGGAAAGGCTGAAGAGAAGAGACTAATGGGGCTCAGAGCAGAGGCGGGAAGGCCAGAGCCACCTCTAGCAGGGAAGGTCACCTTGGGCAAGGCAGCCAAGTTCAAACCTTGAAATTGCTAGGAGTCTGACCAGTGGCTTAACCCCATTTTACAGATGAGTAAACTGAGGCCCCAGAGGAAATGGCAGTACCAGAGCTAAAGTTTTCATCCAACCACACTGTACACAGGGTCCCTGAAGTCCGCTTTTATTCATGTAAAAAAAATCCCCATATAAAGGGTTGGCCTCTACTCCCCGGGACTTTAGGGCTGCATCCAGCTACTGCTCCTTGGGAGTGGGGGACAACCATCTTGTTCGACTGTAGTGGAGTACAAGCCCCAGCCATTTCTAGAGGCCTGGAGTTAGAAGGGAGGCTAAGGACCAAAGAAGCCCCAAGGAAACGAAGGGGGTTAGTGTGAGGCATTTGCCTCAGATTTTAAAAAAATAAAATTTCTAAAGATAAGAGGTTAACAAAAAAGAAAAACCAAAGCATTAGTGTCTTCTACCCACAGCCCAGTGCCCACCCAGTCCTGTGGCCACCTCTTGCTTAGCCAGTTCAGAGCTGGGTGTTCTCCTCCTGGCTCTCCGAGTCAGCTCCAGATAGGTGCCCACCACTCCCAGGCGCATGACCATTGCTGGCACAGGCCACCAGGGGGCTGTCCCCCAGCGCCTCTGAAGTCTCGCCCAGCAGGCACCGACGGATCTCCTGGGGCAACCTCTCCCGCTGTTCCTGACACTCCTGGGTCAGCTGGGCCAGCAGCTGCAAGAGGATGAGTGTCCTGGAGGGGCCAGGCTGCCCAGCCCCCTCGCCACCCGCCTGTCCGCCTCCTCTGGGCCTCACCTTAGGCTCCTCTTCCACTAGCTGCTGGAGGATTTGCTGATGCCCTGCCACCAGGCGTTCATGGCGCTGCTTCTGGGCCTCCTCCAGCTGTAAAGGAGGGCGAGAGTTGAGCTGAGGGAGGGGCAAGGCCTGGGGGCACTGAATGGTGGGAGGGGTCAGCGCTCCCAAGGACGCTAAAAGTGTTGGATATGATGCATGTACCAGGATGTCGGTGGGTGCAGTCCCTGGATAAAGGCATTAGGAGAGTAATGTGGCACCAAGCCAGGAAGAGAGGTGGGGCTCACTCACCCGTCGGATGGAGTTGACCGACTCCGTGATGTGCCTCCGATTAATCTCTGTCAGTTCCCTGCAGAGGTGAAAGGGATGGCTGGGTGCCCAGGCTTTCTCCCTGCCTCCCCTCACTCAATGGCGCCCGGCCCCAGCACACTTACACCTCCTTCTTGTGTTTCTCTCTTGTCTTGGCCTCTGAGATACTATTGTTGCGCTTCCTGTCCAGGATCTTCTGAAGCTCCTTCTTCTCCCTGCAGCAGCAAAGAGGGACAGGACTGGGTCAGAGGCGGGGCTCTGGGCGCCAGAGTCCCACTGCACTCACACAGGATCTTCTGTCTTTACCTTTCATTCATCTCCTTCAGCCTCTTGAGCTGAGTTGAGTGTGCGTCCAGGACAACCTCCCTGAGCCGCTGCTGAGCCTGGGGAGGCAGGCAGCCAGAAGGTAACGTGGGGCCGATGTGGGCAGCTTCCTGGTCCACACAGGAAGCTGACTCTCCCTGCCAACACCACAAGCCCCTCTCACCTGTCTCAGGTGCTCCAGCCTCCGTTCCGTCTCTGCATCTGCCTGGGCCTCCCTCAGCTCCAGCAGGCTCTGTACCTGTCGATTCTGGAACTCTCGATACTGCTTGGCTTCCATTTCCTCCTCCATGTCCTCATTGGTAGCTCTGCCCCTGTAGGGAGAACTTTCTCAATAATGCCGGGTCTTGGTATAGGAGGACAGTTAGAGCAGGGCTCAATGCCAGCAGGCAGTGGCAGGCACCAGCCAGGTGAAGTATGCTATGCAAATCAAGAGGCCCCAGCAGGGGTCAGCAGCTGTTCCTTAGCTCCACACAGGAGTTGGGTTCCTGCTTCTTGGCGGGGGGGGAACTTCAGAAGAGGTGGAACTCCCAGGAAAGAGTGAGGACCCAGTATGGGAGCCTGCCTTCACCTCCCTGTCATCTGAGCATGCCCACCCAGCCTGGAGACTCACACGCACACTTCCCTCCAGTGTTGCTGTCAGCACACCACACAGGTGGCAACAGGCTGCAGGGCACTCACGGGGCACTGGGGGAGGGCCGGCACTTGCCCTCAGCCCTGGCCTGGGCCAGTGCATCCAGGAGGCGGCGGGTGAGGGCCACAGCCTTGCGCTGGTGCTTTTTATGCAGCTCCCTCAGGTCTCGATCCTGCCGGCTCTGGAGCTTCACCATAGCCTTGTGGCTTCGGAGCTCCTCCAGAGGGCTAGGGGTCACGTCTGCAAGGGGGAGCAAAGGAGGCAGGGTAGCAGGCAAGGTGGGCCCGAGGTGGGCCGGGCATTGCTGAGCTGGGTGGGGCTGATGCCCACCAGGTGATCGTGCCCCAGCTTAGACCTCTTACCAGAGAGGATGCTGGCAATCAAATCATCTCGCTGCCCTGGAAAGCAGAGCCGTGGTGAGCTGAGGGATCTGGCTGGGGCTGGCTCCCCTTGGCCCACCCGTAGCACAGGCTGTCCCTTACCTGGGCTACTGAGGGAGGTGCTAGTGGGGGAGGTGGTAGGGCCTGGAGGCCATCGAGGCGAAGCTTCCAGTGGGTTAGGTATGGGGTTAGAGGAGACCTGTGACCCTGGCTGTTGAGACTGGGTCTCCTGATAAGTCTCTGTACTGGCTTGAGCCTGTAAGAGAGAATGCCCTTTCTAAAGATGTTCTCTCCATCCCTCTTGGGTCCTTCCACCTCCTGGATGCCCTATACCTCTACCAGCTCCCTCTGCCTACACAATGAGATAAACAACAGGCACCCCTAGCCCCTTGTTCACAGCAGCCAGGAAGGCTATTACCAGATCACTGCATGTCTTCAGCTCCCAGATGATTCTGGAAAAGCCTGGCCCAGCCCCAAGAGTCCTCCCTCTGTCCCTCCCTCCCTTGCCTGGTGGTTTGTCCTCCTCCTGGATGCTCAGCTGCTGATTTAATCAGCAAAGGAAGCAACTGCAGAGCGGGCACCAGTCTCTTCGACTAACAGCTCCTCACAGCCCTAATTGCAGTCATCTCTTTCCTGGCCGCCACAGGCCCATGGGGACTGGGTCAGGACATGTGGCTGAGCCTCTGCTCCTGACACCTCCCGCTGAAGCCACTATCTCCTCATGGCTTTTCTGGCTTCCAGTGCCCCAGTGTATGGAAACCCCAGGCTCTGACCCCACCTGGGGCTTGAGAAAATGCAGTCTAGACACAACGCAAATCAGTGCAGCTGGGTACGTCCTCTTTCAAGAGCCCGCAACTGAGCTGCGGGCAGAGCATTTGCCTGGCCTGCTTAAGACCCTGGGCTCCATCCATATCCAGCATTGGGGAGAAGAGGTAAGGGGTTAGAAAACTGACTGACTCAGCAACATGTTTGCCATGAAAGCATGAGGTC